GACGCGTTCTCCAGGATCTGCGGGAATTCTAATTTCTCCTGGTGAGTAGGAACCGCCATAAATCCCACTGGAACCACCACCCGCCACTTGAGCGGGGACGAGAGCGAGGGACGGCACGCCGATCGCGCCTCCGCTGCAGACCGCACGGCCCGGGCCGAAGTCAATTTCATGCATTTTCCGCACGGCGTCGCACGAAAGCAAAGCCGGAATCGTGTTTCATCTTCGGCACTTACACAAGCAAGAGTTCCCCCGACAAATAGGGGGCGTTGCCAGGAATATGGCGGTGTGACGGCATGCACCGCGCTGGAATGCACGTACTTTGAATTGAGGGTTCAAGCGAAAGCGGGACCACTATTCTGCATAAGAGCACACGAACGCTCCAGAACAGAGCCATGGTCGGCACCGAAGAGGGAAGCACTTTGTAAACGCTTTTAATGTGACGGACAGGCGGGCAATGCCGGGGATTGACCACCCACACCCGGCACAAACACCCGAAAGCAAGAAATTCCGGATACTAAAAATGGAGATTAAATAACCACGCGCTGCAAGGCTCGAACCTCCGCATGAAGAACATCACAGAAAGCCCGCCTTCGCGCAGGAGAATTCCACCGAGAAAAAGTGCACCGCGTGCCTAAAATGGCAGGCACACATGCGTTGGTGAACGTCACGCTGTCGCCGATTTCACGACAGCAGAGGGGCCAGACCGCCGAGAAGACGCACGTTGCCCGGCGACGACAGCCCAATGGGATCACCACCGGCTGAGCTTCGCCGTCCAACATGCGTGTTTCAGTGCCACAGCAGTGACTGACTGACCCGCTACCGCACGGCGCGCCACGGCATTGACCGGAAATTGTGAGAACCGGCCGATTTGAACTGTGCGAAGAGGCAATTCTGCATTTACTCCGCTGCGGCTCCCACTTCGGGTGCCGGGGCTTTCTTTTAGATCTCCGATCATTGGGCGGACGTGCTCTGCGATGGCGGCTGGCGTGTGAGTCTTCGTATTTGTTTGAGCAGACACGAGGGATAGTAGCAATATATATCAACAGCACTGAATAGATATTAATACCGATATTTACATGCCCATCTATATACATATGCGGCCAATAAAGTAGCAATTCCATAAACCAAGAAACCAAGCAATCTGTCAATTTGGAGGGGAGAGAAGGGATGTATCCATATAAACAAGAAGATAAGCATCGATCAATGTATAGCGATATCGGTGTGGGTATGAGTATCAAAAAGTTACTTTATTTTTATTGATGCTTATTTTCGCATTTATATCTCTCCATATAATTTTTTCTAGGAGCTTGTGAAGAGAATGATCGCGGGAGGTCTGGCATACTTAATGAATGTGCGTAGATCCTGATAATTGAATGCATTTCTTTTTGGTGCTTTCTACCGTATGAATATATTGGGAATTACACGACTTTAGGGGGCAGCGGGGAACCGATAGAGGCTAGATGCTTTTTATTTTTACCATTCCACCCACCCACTTTTGATTCCCACCATGCGGTGGGTTCTTGCGGTTGGAGGACCACAAAGTCTGCCATTTCGTCAGTAAATATATTAGATCCTATCTGAGTACAAAAGGCTGCGTGAGCGGCCAAAAGAATATATACATATACATATAGTATCAGGAGAAAACATGTGGTAAATTAACTTCCTATGTGTTGCCCCTTTTCCTATGTTGTCTGGTTTCTTTACATAAATTCAGGATCCGGCCAGCGGTCAAGAAGATTACTCGAGCTCAATATTTACTCCACCCTGTATGGGTGACTGAATTGCTGTGGCTCTCTGTCATGTATGTGCATTTTTTTATCCCTCTCATACCTTTCTTTGGATGGTTATTGTTCAGCTTTAACTCAATCCAACTAAGAAAACAAGGAGAAACAATGTCTGGAAGGCCCGAGGAAGGACTTTACGATAATGAGGAAATTCAAGCGCCTACTGTCCCGCAGGGATATCGGAGGAGAGCGAGGTCGGACTTTGAGGGTGACACAGATCACTCCTCTGCGACTTGCAGAAGATTGGAGGAAACGCGTCGACCGCAGTGGACCATGAGCAGCTACATAAAGGACATTCTGCTGGAGGGAAGCACTAACAGGGCTGACATGAGGCTGAATGATTTTCTTCGGAGCAACTTGGGTGGCAGGGGAGTTGTGGACACCAATGAGAACGTCACGATGGGGATGTTTGTTCAGGATCCCGAGATGTTTATCCAAAACGAAAGGTTATTACGCATAATAACGGCATCGCCGTCATACCAAGCGCTGGAGGCTATTTATAAACTTCATTGCGAGGATGTGTTTTCTCTCGAGCAATGGAGGGACTATGAAGGAAAGGATACGGTCACTCCACTTGCAAGGGGAAAAATAAACGAAGTTCTCACTCAGATACTGGGAGAAGAACGCCGCGAGGCAGAAGAAAGGGCAAGGCGGGACAAGCAACAAGTAATATTTAACTTATTTGCTAAGATCGAAGATTTGTTGTTTAGAGGAAGAGTTCGGGTCATGAAAATAAAGCTGAATGATTTTCTTACGCTGGAAATGGAAGGCAGAGGCATTTTGCGTGCCAATCGGAATGTCTTACTGGAGGAGTTTTTCAGTGATCCCACGAGGTATATTCGCGGTACGTTTTTACTGCGCGATATAAAGGCATCGGATCATTACAAGAGGATAGAGAAGACTGTACGGGAGGAAATGGATTTGGAAGAAGTTGTACGCAGGCTTCACGAGAAAGGTGTGGACAATCTACTGAAGTGGTCATTAGCTGCCGAGGAGGTAAAAGCAAATGTTCATAACCTCACCAAACGTTTATTGGATGCAGCCTTCATTGAATTGATGAGCTCAATGGCGATGAGTGCGCCGATGAAACTGGAGGGATTGTACGAGTCTGTGTACAATGCGAGGTGGCATCATGTCGTGGAAGTTCCTGACGGCAAGGGGGCGGTAATGGAGGTGAGGGAGGGGGAAGCACCGCAGTCATGTACGTACAAGGCAGTTGGCGACTCTCTCGAAAGGGATGACGGTGTGCAGCAATCCGGTGAAGCACCTCCCGTGTTGATGGTGCTCACCTCGGACAAGGGATGGCCGTACTCGTGGGACAAGGGCTGAATGAACTTATTCATGACTGCTACGTGAACTGTGAGGTGGATCGAGTGTGGCAGACCGTCAAGGGCAGTCTCACCGAGTGGTTCAGCAGTCACGGTAAGAACAAAATTTCGCCTGATCCGTTTGTGTTGATTGGGACACCCGGGATCGGGAAGTCGATGGCTGCCGGCTCGTACCTTCTCTACCAGCTGCTGCACTACGATGCGAAGCGACTGCAAATGGTTGCGTACTTTATTGGGAATCGAAAATTTCTTTTTGACAAGACCGCCAAAACGGTGGAAAAATACAGTGCGGCGTCTAATATCGTGGATATTTTGGACGGGTTTTCTGGGCGTGGGTTGAAGGGGTATATTATCTACGACGTGGCATTGAAGGGTCATCAAACGTCTACTGCTTTGCCTTGCAAGGGATGGGGCATGATTGTGGTGACACCGCCAGACAAAAACAACTACGAATCGTGGGCGAAGCTGGTGCGAGCGAAAAAAATCATAATTAATTGCCCTGACGAGAGCGATGTGAGGGCAATGTGCATTTGGATGAAGCACAATCGGCAGCTTGAGGAGGAAGAAGCGGACTACTGGAAGAAGGTGAAGGATCGCATGGATAAAGTGGGACCACTTCTTCGCTACATCTTTGATGACAGCGAATACAAATCTCGGCTTGTCTCGTGCGAAGGTAAAGTTAAAACAATGAACCTTTTTGCTACCCACTATTACTCTATTTTGGGGACTAATGAAGTGTGCGATGATAGCCACATCTCTCACAAAGTTGTAAAGGTCGTACGAGTACGAGGGGGAAGCAATTTAGAATTGCCTTTAAATGCACTGATGTCTCCTTATCTCGGAAATTTGGTGACATGCAAGTTGGCGGAGTTAATGGCGCCGAATAATTTTATTTTACTCGTATTGGCTATTAAGGACGATCTCTTATCAAAACCCCTTGAAAAGCATTCCGTGTTTACTTTTTTTAGCGGGGCCTTTGTAAGTGCAATAATACCGAAACTCAGGGAGCTGAAACTGCAAGAAGATGCTCCGCCACACCGCTGTGCGCTGGAATCACGTCCACATGAGCGCCCTCTCAAGCCCTGTCTTTTAGAGTGCCTGGAAAAATTTAAAAAGAAGATTAATATAGAGTCTCGGGTGCTGTACAAACCGGAGGCTCAAAACTTTCCGCTGGTGGACGGCTTTTTCTTTGTGAAGTCAAATCCGAAGACGCTGGTTGGGCTGCGGATGGCTACGGCGGGTGGGCACCACACGACAACCAGCACTGTGCGGCAGTTCACTGAGTGCCTGGCGGCATATTTTGATGGTTGGGAGGAGTTATCCCGAGACCTGTCGTGGGAGATGATTTACGTGCAGCACGCAGACAGCACGCCGATGAACGAATGGCAGAGATGTGATGTCGTCGATACCAATAATGTGAGCCGCGCTGAAAAAAAGATTGCGGCGTTCTGGGAGAAAAAGGTACACCAGTACCAAGTGTCTGTATCATCCAGAGACTTTAAATAAAAAGAAGAAGCTCCCCCAACTGTGGAAGAACAACAACAACAGGAAACAGATTAGGAAATGAAAAGTGAAAGAGACATTTTGATTTGTGGTAATTTTTTTTTGAAAAAAAAATATATTCAGACACTTGTGTGTGTGCATGCGGTGCGGGTGCACCAGCCCCATGCGGCAACACCGCACACAAATGTCAAAAATGGCCAGCGCTATCGAACATAACAGTGACAGAAGAAATTAGGGAGGGAAAGGGGTTGCTTGGTTTCTGGTAAAAACATTGGGTGATTTCTA